ACCATGCTTTTTAATCACTGTAAACATCAGAGGTGAAGAATTTGGTGGAGAAAAAATTGGCTGCTTCCTTGTGTTTTTGATCAGACCGAGCTTTGATGCCTTCTCCTTCCCCGTTCCAGTGCCTGAGCTTTCTATGTGACACCAGCCCGGGCATGGAGTGCATTTCCCTGCCTACATCTCCATCCCCTGAGGGATGCAGCCCCAGGGGTGATGCCCTCCCAGTGAAGAGGGAACTCCAACAATGAACTCCAGCCATGCTGTCACTCAGTCTCTCAGGGACAGCTTCCCTCCCGAGCAAGCCTGGAAACTCACACTTTGCTTTTGCAACTCCCCTCACCCATGAGTTTCTCTCTGTACTGCTGGAAAACAGAAAGTCAAGAAACACAAGCATGGCTGAGAATTCATGGAAGATGTGCCAGCACCGTGCAGCAGAGAGGGGGATCCAAGAACGAGACACCAGGGGTACAGCAGGAGGCTTTCTGCCACAGGATGGAGCTCAGTGCAGGCTGCAAAGCATTCCTAGGAAGCTCCACAGATACTCAAAGCATCTGAATCTCATTGCAGAGTTCTGCACTGCCAACTGTGCCTCCAGGCAGATAAGCTGCAAAGTAACTGGAAAGAAAAAATCGTGTAGGTGAAGGTCTTGATCATGTCTGAAAAAGTACAATACCCAAGAGAGTGATGGGGGGGAGAAAAGAGCCAGCTTTTGTAAAAGTGAGCATGTGAATGAACTCTGTGGCTTCGATTTTGTCCCACTTATTCTGTTCGCCAGCTCTACAAAGTGTTTCTCACACAGAAGTGTATTTTTAACAACACGGAAAAGAATGTGCCAAAATTGGAAGCTCAAGTTACTTCTACCCTGGTAAATGGGAGGCAAATGCCATGTAAGAGGTTAAATGGCAAAGGAAGGATTTTTTTTTTTTTAAGACCAAGAATGACCAAATTAGTACTAATGGGGCTGATATTTCTGACTGTGAAATCTCACTGAATAAAAATGATCAACAAGAGAAATCCTCAGCATTCTCTTCTACCTGAGCATCATGCACAACCAGAAACTGCTTTACAAAAGGAGTTAAAAGTTTTCTGCAATAAATGCATAAAAAGTTTAACTTTTCTGCAACTCTATGTAGCAAACACAGACACATTCTGTGGCAGTTTCCCCACAAGGTTCAATCTATGGGGTAAAAAGTCTTGATTTATTATATAGCATTTGGACAGTTGTGAAAGAAAATTTGCCAAAGATCAGAATAATCAACTCTTTCACCCAGGCAGTTTTTTAATGCAAGAAAAAAGCACAGAATGGGTCTGAGCAAAATAAATAAAAATTCCACACTTTTAACCAACAGAACCTTTTGCGTAATTCAGAAACATTTACAGACATCCAGAATCTTTTATCATCAAAAAGACACTCTGGCCTTTCAAATTGCAACTTTTTCTTATATTTTTATTTACTGATGGCCTTTAAACCAGTGGATATCTCTAACTTGTGGCATCTCTTCATGTCATGTCAAATGCAAGAACTTTTAAAGCTGTTCATTGGTATTTTTTCCTCTTCCCTTACAACATCTCTCTTTTGCTAAGCTGTCATCTGTGAGTTTTAAAGATAGCAGAACCCCATCTACAGCAGCATCCGTCACATGAGTCATGGCAGCTATGCCTCAAAAATCAGTTTTTATCGATTGACTGGGCCTCTGGTGCCAATATGGAAATCTTCCAACCTGGAAAGGGCCGACTGTTTTAATACAATTAAATACAGCCAGGAAGAGGGCTGCAAAAGGAAACATGCATTAGCCATTCATAGCATACAAGCCTCTCTCAGAGCCCAGTAAAGTGCAGCATCCCTGCTTCCCTTGCTTATTTAATTAGCACACAATGAAGGCCACTGAATTTCCCTGCAAAAGGTGTTGCGTACTTTGGACAAAAAAGAAAGGAGAAAAGAAGTTGCTTTTAAGTCCAGTCCAAAAAAATAGCTCCTTGGCTAAATGGCACATTTAATAAAGACGTTTCCAGTGTTTGTTTATTTATCAAAAAGCAGTGTTTCTCTCGGGTGTTTTGATTTTTATTTCTGTGCACAAGAAGGAGGGGAAAAAAAGGGCTTTACTAAGCAAGTCTTTCAGTGAGACACCAGATGATGGATAGTCAAACACAGAGTCTCCTGTAAACACAGAGGTAACCAAAAGGTATGAACTGACTCATAATTGTGTCAACACAGGTCGCAGACCCTTGGTTTATTTCAGCCTTCCTGTTTTTCACAGATTTCTGTTCACACTACACTATTTTTTTGAAGACACAGACTCTTTTCAGTACATCTTAGCGGGGTGCAAAAGCACACACGTTTTTACACCAAAATGTGGGCATCTACACGCACATGTAGGCTGTACAATTTCAACAGCAGCATTTTCCACCTATTGCTTATGGCTACATTAAAGTAAGCTGTGCAGTCCATGACTGCTCTAAATCAAAAAGTCCATCCCACTCCAGCCTCCAGCCTTTCCCTGGAGGCTCTTGGGAAGCATCCAGAAGAGAGGAACACAACAAAACCTCAACAGCCCAGTGCTCCAGCTCATCCAACCCTCCAAGACTCACTGTGATTTTTTTTAACCTAAGTGGCAAAACTCTGTCTGATGGAAAATGCTGGGAGAAGAACAGGCAGCAAAGAGGTCTGTGATGAGCAGAACCTGCCTGTATTTGTCTTGATCTCTAAACAAATTGAATTAGGCTGTAAGGCTTTTTCTTGTATAAAGTTTAGAACCATGGTTTGGGTTGGAAGGTTGGAACAACCATCTAGTTCCAATCCCCCTAAAAGACCTTCCACTAAAAGCCCCATCCAGCCTGGCCTTGGAGAAAAAAGCCTTTCTGGGCTCTCTATTTCTGAACTAGAAAGTTAAGAAATTGTTAGGGTAGGGGCTGATGTGCAGACACCCCAGACATTGAATCCCCTGCAAGGGCAGCTGAAGGGCCAGGAAAGGTGTTTCAGTACATTCCCTGTACCTGTGCAGACACTAGTCTGGAATCCTGAGATCCTTTTAAAGGACTTGCAGAAAATAACAAATGAAGAAGCCAGGCAAATTGTTCTCCCTCAGCAGAAGCAGGAAAAGAAGCCATTTAAGGGCAGACAGCAGTGACCAGTACATGTTCCTGAGCTCTAGGGAGCACAGAGCCCTGGGCAAGGGATCTGCAGTGGATCCAGCCTGAGCACACACATGAAAAGGACTTAATGCTATAGACCCACCCACCCAAGATGTGTCAGACACCCTGTATGAGCCAGGAGAAGTTCAGACAACTGTTTATCTGGGATTTTTCAACTTCAGAGAGTCACTGAAAATGGCAGAGCCAGCAAGGACAGATAACATTATTCAGGTTGAGCAGTGCCTTATTCCTTGTGTAATCACATCCAGCTCAACTCAGCAAAAATCAGAGTTACAGAACCAGGATTTGGACCTTATTTCCCACTGTGCCAGTTTACAGGTAATCACTGTCATGGCTGAAACCAAATCCACCCAGAGATCCCACAACAGCTCTTGCCTGGTTACATCACCAAATTATTCACCAAAAAAATGCAAAACAAATTACACTAGGGTGAAGCTGACACGCACAAAAAATGCCAGAAATAGTATTTCAGAAACAGAAATAATTGGCAGACTTAATTTTTAAAAGACTACTCATTTTAGGATGGTACACCTTTGTAAAGAGAGAACATTTTATCTGGAGCCATTTTCCCCTTTGGAAACCAAGGCTGGCAGAACAATGGGGAGAATTCCCTTTGCAAATTACAATATACTAAGTCAGATTTGCTTCCATCAGGTTCTGTACCTTCAGAAATTGGTCAGGCTTTTTATGTTAGTCAACTGGGGAAAACCTACACTCTATTCTCCTGCTTCCCCTCTTTTCTTTACCTCTTTTTAGCTAGAACAGAAGGCGAAGGAAGAAAATTTTACTGAAGGATACCATGAAAAGAGTTTTCAAAACATTCCACATATTTTCTCTGCATAAACATGCTGTGGATTTCTAATGTAAATAGTGCCAGGGCACTGTCACTCAAACCCCAGGAGTTCACCCAAGTTAGACAAATTATGCTGCCCGTTATCTCAGTTGTTACAGATTCTTGCCTTTCATTCATTTCTTGCCAGTGGCTGGATTTTATGTGTAGGGAAGAAAAGAAGCCTCAAATGCTGAAGTTAACCTCTTGTGGTGAGACCAGTAATCCTGGGCTTTCCAGGGGAGAATGCAGAAGGAGATAGCTACTAGCCTTGTCTGCCAAGGCAGCAGTCAAAAGAATGCTGAAATTTGGCATGTATGAGCAGGAGAAATGCAGTGCTATGAAAATGGACACTGCAAGCTCCCTGCCAAATCTGCAGCATTTGGCCCACATGAATAAAACAAATTAAGTTAAAAGAAGTTTTTTACATGTCCTGTAAAAAACCTCCATAAAGCTGAGTTGTGGCTGTGAATAGGAGATGGTGCTGCTGAGCAAACCTGCCTGGCAGAAGCAGTGACTGCTGCTTCAAACATCAAATCCACACTATAATTAATGCTAACTGCAACTACAATCAGAAGGCTCATTTCCTCCCAGATAAGGAGATACTTACTAGAAGGGAATGCAGGATGTGATCAGGGGATTCCTTTCTGAATGTGTTTTTACAGCCACACTGCTAGGGACAGAGTGAAAGCCCCTGTCCCACATGCCAGGTGTTGTCCAGCTGTGAAACCCCTTTGGGTCCTGGAACCTGTGTATGGAAAACAAAGGGCCTGGATGCTGCCAGCCCCATGTCCTGCCCTGCAAGTGCAGCATTCCAGTCTCTCCTGCCAGGTCCATAACCCCTTTTAGGAACAGAAAAAGCTGAGTTTGCATGGCAGCACCATGAGAGGAATGTGCATTGCATGCCCACCTATATATTGATTCCCTGTAATGATGAGTGCCTTTAATGCCATTCTAATGAGCCAGTTCTGATAGAATGTTTTCTTTATGCTGTACTTCCAAAGAAGGGAAAACCTCTTACCTATTGTTCTTCGGAGATCTTCACACTGGCTTATGTGAGGGAATTTCAGGATTTCCTTCCACTTTTTGCTTTTGCCTTTGCGTTTCCCTCCACCTCCTGCAGAGAGAGAAATACCAGTATTAGATTGCTTTGTGGACACAGTTCCACCTAGAGTTGACCTGCCTATCCATAATTTTTATGGATATCATTAATAATTAAAGCTGAAACACTGTGGGTTGATGTACAAGCAGATCTCTGGAAGTATTCAAGGAAAGGCTGAATGGGGTTCTGGGCAATCTGGTCTACCAAAAGATATCCCTGCCCATGGCAGGGGGTTGCAACTAGATGACCTTCAAGGTTCCTTCTAAGCCAAACCATTCTATGATTCTATGATACAGATCAAATCTCAACTTATTTGAACTTAAAACAGGCCAAGGAGGTGGCATCTGGCCGAAGATCAGCTCACCAACAGTTGGGAGTCCAGGCTTGCTGCCCACCAGGTCCAGTTGAGATGGCAGAGCTACCTCCAGCATCACCTCTTCCCTAACCAAGAGCCACTTCACACAAGTCAAGCAATCTTGTAAAATTACAGTTCACACCTTTTCAATGCAGATATCCCCCTTCTGGTTTTGGGACAGGCCCTGATTCTACCCCCAAAAAGTGCTGAAGATCCAAATTCACTTCCCCCCATCCCCTCAGACCCTCACATTACATATCCTGGCAGCATGGCACTACTGCTGCTGTCACACACTCTGGTCACTGCTGCTTCCACAGGAGAACTGAAGGAGAAAAATAATAGCTTCATGAGGAAAAAAATCACTTATTGGTTCTTCTTTCTGTCCTGCTTGGAGAGGCTGTGCAGCCAAGCAGGAGGAGAATCCCTCTGGACATGAGAGCCCAGATGCAGATTGGGATTCTCCAAGTCCCTGTATTTACTGCAATTCAGTCCCTGCACACAAAACCTGATTCACTTGAGTCTATTTTATATGCACTGGCATGCTGAATGACTAATTTAGAGCTGAGTTAATTCTGTAGAGGGGTTGGTAGAGTCACAATTGCAGATTGAGATTGTCTTGGGTCCTGCATGACATTACAGGCTAAATTAGGAGAGCACTGACTCAAAAGGTAGCAGACCACCAGAGAGAAAACAGGAGCCTTGGAAAAAAATTACAAGTATTGCTCTCTGTGGGGCATTTCTGATCACACAATGTCACCTTTGGCACTGGAGAGCTTCTTTTGAATCTCACCTTTTATTCCTTTGCTTTTGATGGCCAATGGTTTTGCCATCACAGAGTCTGCCTTGAATTATTTTAAACTTATTATTGATAGGAACTGATTGTATTTCTACAGTATGCAATGTAGAGCTGGCCATGCAGGAACCAGCTTGTCTGGACTTTCAGGAGCACAGCCCTGCTATCCTTTCCAAGAATCAGAGTGCAGCAAAGCACAGAGAGCTGTGGCTGCCTCCCCACCACAGAGTACTCTGCAACACAGACATACCCCTTGGGTCTGTAATGAATTCTGCTTCAACCCCTCCTCTTCAGTGCATCCCAGCCACTGCTGCTGAAGTCATTTCCTTCCCATCCCTCTGCCCACAGCATCAGAGAGCTTGTCTTGCTCTCTTGGTCTTGCATGCTGAGGGCCTTAGGTGAACTACAAAGTGCTGTTAAACACTTTGTGGGCTGGGGTGAGCACTGTGATCATCTGTTCACCAACTTCTGGTGCACATCTGCTCCCAGCTAGCCCTGCTCTGGCTGCCAGTGGCCACAAGGGGTTGGATTCAGCAACCCTGAGGGTCTTCACTGGTTTTCATGTCCCCAGAAGCCCACTCCTGCAATCCTGCACAGCAGCTCCTGCCTGCCAGGCTGCCACCTCCACTTGCTCCTTTTTCCTTCTCTTCCAGGGGCATTTTCCTCTGTGCTCCTGCCCCTTATGCCTCATCACACTGTACTTACACTTCCCTCCTCACACCCTCCCTTCATGTACTCCTCTGGGAAAATGATCCCTCACCAGGAATTCCTGCTTCTTTCTCTCTTCCAGTCATTCTCTATAGCTGCATTTTCTTCTCTGAACCATTCGTCCCTGAACTTTTCTTCTCTGTGTGTTTTTCCTCACACTCATTTATCTTAGAACCACAGAATCCTACAATATATCGAGTTGGAATGGACTCTGCTCAAGGGATGTGCAGCTGCCTCCAACAGTGTTCCCAAACACTTCTGGACACAGGAGGCAGTGGGGTCAGCCAGATGAAACCATCTTTTAGGCTGGTGCATCTTCACCCCCTGAAGGTCTACCCTGCAGGCACAAGCACTAGGGATTCCAGAGCACACCTGCTTCTCCAGCCACCTTTACAGAAGTCCTCCCAAAAAGGCTCCATCTTTAGCAGCATCAAGCAGCACAGAATATTGCAGAATAGCCCTTTGCACTAAATGACAGTTCTGAGATTTGTGCAGAGGTGCTATGATTCTGCTAAGCTGGGCCTGAACATCTTTAAAATCCATTCAATGTAAAATATGTATTGATGTATTTACATTGGATGATGTATTCCTGACATTAAATTTCCATCAAAACTAAGGAAGGGCTCTGCAGTCCCCGGTTAAAACCGTGATCGATACAGCCAGCATGTTCCCTTCTCTTTTGTGGCTATCCTCCAAAAATAAGCAGCCTTGCCTGATGAATCACTTGCTCTTAGCTGAGCGTGGAGCAGCATTCCTGCTTTGCTTGTGACGTCTTTATGTTAAAGATTCTGATCAAGTGCTTTAATCGACCTGACCTTTCCGCTCCCAGCTTTTCTTGTGGAGCCAGCAGTGTTTGCTGGCTCCAAACGTTAATTCTGGGGGGGTTTGAAGGACATAATGCAGTGAGACAGCTGAGACACAGTAAATTGTCTAGCAGAGCTAAAAGCTAAAAGGGGAGGTTTCTCTGAATAGGTCATGGTGCAGGTTGCAGAGGGAAGCTTTTCACACGTTGCCTTGATTGCTGCCTTTGCACCCTCTATTCCATACAGGAGGATTTGCATCCTTCAAGACACTTCTCAGGGCAGGACTTGACAGATGTGCCATGTTTTAAATGTTAAGTTCCATCATGCAGTGTTGGAGGGTCTGACTGCTTTAAAATTTTGCTTTGCTGGTGACAACAAAAGGTGAGCTGCCAGCAACAGCAGGAAAGCTCAGCCCCACTTCCTTGCCTGCGCTCAACAACTCAGCATTTGCAAACTGAGGGTTGAAGCTAATTCTCTAACATGTCAACCAGTCCTGCAGGAAACAAAAGCATTTGCTCTACATCTTGCCTACTGAAAAATACATGGCATTTTTCACATCATCTTGTGATGCTGCGTGGCAAATCTAGCTCTGATCTCTGCCTGTGAGGAGAGACATAACCAGAGGCACACATGTAAAACATCTGCCAGCAGGAGTTACCCTCAGCCTAAAGTGCCTACCTTTTTTTTTCCCCTCCATTATTCAGTATATATTTATTCTCCTAACACCAAGAGGAGACAGGAAAACACCTGCATATTATTAAGCCAATGAGCTATTAAGTGGCTTGTCCAAAATGAAATTAAATGAGAAATCGTAGCTGAAGAAGCCAAGGCTTTGCAGCTCTTAATTCTGCTAAAGACAGCATCAAGCCATGTTCCTGCTCAGGTGATTGAAGATTATTTACAACACAGAGTATTGTTGGATGAATTTATTCCAGCATCAAGCCCGTAGCATATTCCATTTGTGCCTCATGCCACCAGACAAGGTGGATTTTAAGGATGGATAATCTGGCTTCCTACTGCTGCTCTGTTATTGCCCAAGTTGATAAGACAGCAGCACATCCCATGCTGCCAGACCTGGCTAATCCAAATATTTCAAATATTTCATGCAAGTGTGTTAACTGCAATCTAGTTAATTTCCAGATCACTGGAGGATGACTACAGCTTCTATCTTCCACTTCACAACAGTACCTGGGTTGTCACCCAAAGCCTTCCCAACAACATTAGAGAGCTCTGTATCCTCAGAATGCAAGGCCTTGATTACACAGTGAATGCAGTGAAACAAACTCCAAAAATACTAAAAGTAAGAGAAATCATGGTTAGTGTCCTATTTCCACTCACAAGGTGTCTACATTTCTTCTCTTCCTCCTCTTGCCACCCTTTCTCTCCTCTGTCCCATGGAAGTGTTTGAAGCTAAGTGTTATATATGGAATTGCCATATTAGAGTAGGGTCTGGCCACTACAGGATGAACTGCAGGCAGCTTCAGAGGAAGATCTTGGAAAGCTGTTTCTGAAGTACTTGAAAAACATTAAATTTGTCCCATATTTTGTTAATTAGATATGGTTAACAAAGCATGAAGGTGTATGGCTTCCAAACAATTTCTTCTCCTTTTTTGGCATCTGTGCTACTTAGAATCAGGCTGTTCTTACGACCCTGGTGAACACCCTGCACTGTTGAATGCACCCATGTCTCATGTGGGAGTGAATACCAAAGATTAACTGTGTATTTGTGAAGGAAAAAAATACTAATTTTAATCTCGTTTTCCTAGAGTGCCTTGTCCTAATGAGACAGCATTAATAAAGCTTACCAGCCCATCATTTTCCCCTAGAAATTTTTCATGTCTAATACATTCAGCCTCTAAGGCAAACAGTTTCACCCTTATTAGACCTATTTCATGTGGAAGTTCTCCCAGGTTCACTATTCTTCTTTCCTATTAGTTCCACCTACACTCAGCTGTACTAGCAAATAAAACTGGCTTGTTTTTCAAGAATGAAAGACTGCTTGCTCTCTGCCCTTCATCATGCCTCTCTCCTCTGGGAAAACAGGAAAAAAAACCCCAGGAACCCTGTTTTATTCTGAAAAGATCTTGGATGATACTCCTGATTTAACTTGTGCTTAAAACAAGCACTTACAAGACCATAGGGAACTTCTGCAGGAATCCCCTCCTGCCAGCCAAGGAAAATGCAATGAGTGTCAGAGCTGGATTTCCAAGAGCAGGTGGGTGTCCACGCTGGGGTGCAGAGCCTCTGCAAACCTGTCTCTAGAGGCTTTCTTTGATCAGATACAATAAAAAATCCACTGCAAGCCCTCAGAAGAGAATCATGTTACACAGCTCCTCTCATCGGTGCTAATCTGTTT